TTCGCAGAGCGTCAGTATAAAGCTGTCTGGGGTTTCAAGGGGTCAGCCAAAAGTGTAGCCTCGTTTTGGTCCCCAGCCCATGCAGGAAGTGCTTCTGAGCGAGCAAGGCATGGAGGTGTTGGTATACTTGTCAACCCGTATGGAGCGGTTCGTGACGCGAGACCATGGAAAGAGGAGTTATGGACTGCATATCGACAATTTATACAGTGTACACTGCAAGGTGAGGAGGTGTTGGTGATGAACTTGTACGCACCGTCCGACCCACGTACCAGGAAACAATATTTTAATCAATTGCAAGACGTTCCCGTACCGGACGGGGCAAAGGTGATCGCAGGAGGCGACTTCAATTGCGTGATTGACCGCACTTTCGATAGACGCACATCTTCGCAGAAGGGAGATGCTGGACGTGCGCAACTACAAACTTGGATTGAACGAAGCAGTGTAGTTGATGCGGTGGAGCAGTTCAAACCTCGCCATCTCAATACGGTCACTAAAAACGCCTTCGCCGGCGAGTTCCACACGTATTTCTACAATTTGGCTCACGGGCAGAAGGGTTCTAGTCGAATTGATCGCTGGTATATCTCTACCGAAATGCAGCAGTGGGTCAGAAGCGTTGAAAAGAGCAAGTGTCCACTCGACTCAGACCACTATGGAGTCACGATGCATCTTCAATCGCCAAAAAATCCGATACGAATAAAGCGCGATTCGCCGATTTACCCGATGTCGACGTACGTTACATCCGCAGCAACTGATCTCATTGCTACAAGATTGGCAGCCTTCAGTAATGAACTATGCAGCAAAGATGCAGGAGATGCTCCCGCTCTTGCAGCAAAGTGGGATCAATTTAAAGGAGACTTATGCAAAGAGCTCACGCAACTTAAACGACAATGCAGACGCAAAGTGGCAAAGGGATTCAGACAGCGCATCCGACGCGTAATGAGAAAGTTACGCAACTGTGAGGCCGATCAAAAATCCACGCCTTTCCTTAAGCGCGTTGAGCTTCTCAACCAGCTGAAAGCAATTCAAACTCAGCGCCGAAACCTTCGACGGAAAAGGTTAACGAGGAACCATACGTGGAGAGACCATTCATCGTCGAAATTTTTCTTTCGTAGGATCTGTACGCGATTTGGAGACAATATCATTCATCAGCTTACACCCTCGAGCGGAAATTCCCAACGAGACCCTAGCGACAAGATCAACATACTTGCGGATGCATGGCTCCCCATTATGAACAAAGAGAACATCAGTTGTGAGGAATTCGATGGCCACGTCGCGAGGATGAAATCGCGTTGGTAGAAGTTGGATCTATCCGAAATGGACGCCATCATAACGGAAGACGAGGTTCAGGCTGCTATCAAGAGGTGCAAACGGGGGAAAGCAGCAGGGCCAGATCGGCTTGGGAATGATTGGTACAAGGACCACTCGGAGCAACTCCTCCCCATTTTGACTGCTCTGTTTAGCAAGTGGATGGATGCTGGTATTTTTCCCAGGAGCTTTTTGCAAGGACACATCTTTAGCATCAAGAAGAAAGGAGACCCCACGGATCCCCTCAACTATCGTCCCATTGCGCTTCTCAACTCAGACTACAAAGCGCTCACAAAAATTTTAACGAAGCGAGTACGGACTCGAATAGGGTCCCTGGTTCATGGCACTCAATTCGGTTTCGTACCTGGACGTGGAATTCACACTGCAATCAAACTTTTCGAGGCGGCCAAGAAGGTTGGTAACTCCAGCGAGCAGTATGCCAATGCGCAGGTATTGTTGATGGATTTCGCAAAAGCCTACGATACACTAGACCGTCAGTTTCTACTAGCGGTACTTAAGGCCAAAGGTTTCCCACCTAAATTCATTCAGATGGTGGATGCTACTCACTCCGACACGTCCGCAATCTTCCTCGCTAATGGTTACCCGTCGGAGCCAATCTCAGTTACGCGAGGAATTAGGCAAGGGTGCCCTCTAGCCCCGCTCCTTTTTATTCTTGCGGTGGATCTGCTTTACGACGAACTTGACTTCACAACCGGAGAGTGTGGACTGGATCTAGTTGGACTGCAGGGCTCGTTTCGCCTACACGTAGCAGGATACGCGGATGATACTGCTATTTACATTCGTGAAAAGCCATGCAAAGCAGAATCAACGCAGCTGTCAGGCGATTTTCGGAAGTTTCGGGGCTGAGCGTCCATTCCAGGGCCAATCGCCACACAACCTGTATGCAGGTATCTTGGTCACTGGGCTGGAACCCTGGATACCACCGCTGAAGCCTGGAAAAGAGCTTTCTCTGCTCTATCTTCCCGCCTTACGTTGGCGATAGACAATACTAACTCCGCTATACAGCGAGGCGTCATCGCCAACGCAATAATCGTGCCCAAACTATTGTATGTATCCCAGCATGCGTGGCCGACATCGCGTGTCGCCTGGGAAGCGGAGATGCGGATGCGGAATTTTATCTGGAATAGCTCTTTCGCACGACCTACAAACAAAATTTGCGGATGGGCAAGCTATGAAGTCCTGGAGCTACCACAAAAAAGTGGGGGCTAGCCATGCCGAATTTCCTCACTGAGCTACATGCACTAAGCGCCAATGTTGTAGGCGAGTGGTCTACTTCATCTTTTCGTATTGCTCGAATTATTGGTGACATACTAGGCCCCCGTGGGGCCGATCGCCGGACCCATATATGCCCGAGCTGGAAGTTGGCGGCTCCTGTCTCAATCAGAGATTCAATTCGAGCTACTGGTTCGATTTGGGTTTCACGTTCGATCACCCCCCATTTCCCCGACGATATCATTACCCTTCAGCTGGATATACGCTCTCGATGCCGAGCGGGGCACCATGTCACGGCAAAATGGTATGAAGGGGGACTGCTTTGCGATTTGAGAAGTTTGCTGGCTGACTCTCGACATTTGGCGCAACTTCAGGAAAAACGATTTGGTGCTTTTGCAGCGGAAGCTGTCAAACATCTCCCCGTCTTTGATTTACCTATCTTCAGCGATCAAGGTCAACTTGTTTCCTTGAGGAAGAAGTTCGGCCTACTTGCAAACAGCGCAACTACTTTGGCGGAAGTTCTCGATTGGAAGTGGATTAGACCGGGTGTGGTTAGCGTCAACAGTGTACTTTACAACTACCCTATGACTTCGCAGCTAGCTCACCAATTTTGTGAGCTTGCACTGGACCTGCTTGTGATTTTTCCTCAATTGCAGGCTTCATCAGAATTGTAACTCACAGATTGTGGTGGCACACAAACTGGTTGACCCCAACCATGTCTTTCACATAGAAGCACTACCTGGCTTACTTGCCACGCACACATGGGGCTCCAAGGATTCGATTGTGTTCAAGCACTCATCTCCACCGCTACTTGACGTAGAAGTTGCATCTTAACTCGCGGTCCCAAGCACCACAGTATGGACCGCGCCCCACCCGTGGGCGACACGACTGGCGGCAATCTGGGTAGGACACCGTCGTTCGTCTCACACGAGAGCTAGATACCGTTCGGACGTAAGGACGAAGCGGATCAAGAAAGGGGAACAAAGGGTGAGTCAAGCCGAGGAATCATGGAACAAGGACTGCCTGGAAATCAGCTCAGCCTTGAAAAAGATTGTGTGGGGCAGTTTGGCTAGAATCGTTGGGATTTCAACGTATCAGCGCTCCCTACTCTATCGTATAAAACTCCGTGCACTTCCGCTGTGGATCAAGAATCGAAAGGCAATTGCATGCCCCCATGACCAATGCGAACACCTACATATAACGCTGGCGCATATTTTCTGGGAATGTCATTTCGCTAAACAAGCATGGAGCTGGATGCTCAAGCTGTTTACACCTCCATGAGGAACCAGTGACACATGGGATGGAGGAAAGTTTCTCTTTCAATTTGAACTACCTGCCGTCGAGGTGTATTGCATTTAGGGCGGCCTGGTTAGTCAGCAACACCGAAAAGGAACATACCATGACGACGGATACCATCTCGGACGTGGTCAATAAGTATTGGAAATACGCAGTGACCCAGGTTCTCAGCCTGATATGGAGAACACGACTAGACCTGATACACAATACTGAGCAGAGACTGCCTGCGGTAGATGAGCGGAGGGCCCTCTTGGAGCGACAACTACAAGAAGGATTCGACAACATTGCAGATTCGTTTTTACTTACCACGGAAAATACGGTGAATGGTTAGCTGGCATGGAAATCCGGAAAATGCTGCATTATCACGAAGGAGTCTCGATAGAGAATCCTCCCATCCAGCCTGCAGCGACGGTGAGGTATGTCGGATTCTTCGACGGAGGTTCACGGGGTAACCCAGGTCCCGGTGGGAGTGGCAGCGTTCTCGTCGAATTTGGGGTTGGCGCACCAAAGATTATCTGGTTATGTACTACATCACTCGCAGGGACCCGATGCACCAATAATGTTGCGGAGTTCCGGGGACTTCATAGCCTTCTGCTCTTTGTAGCGAGGAGGAAACTATGCACAGTACATATTGTTGGCGACAGCCAGTTGATCCTGCGGATGATGAAAGAGCGAAGACGGCCAAAGTCACGCAAGCTTCAAGGTTGATATGATCGCGCTCGACTACTGGCGGACATGGCCAGGATAGGTTCGTGAACCCACCACGTGAGGAGGCATAATAAGATGGCAGATTGTTTTGCGAACCTGGCTATGGACTCTATGTGCAACCAGGAAGATGAGCCCACAACAGATGAGATGATAAATTGGCAGTACGCTGGAGTATTTAGTCACCTTATCGGTGACTTTACTCACTGGCTGACAGCGAGAGAGGGAGAACCAAGGTGACTAGTACCCTTTTCGGATATTGTATAACCTTTGCATGTAAGTAGCGTTTCCCAGTATTCTTCAACTCGAGGCGGAAGGGGTATTAGAAGTTCGGCATGAGCCAGTAACTCAATACACCTCAACAACATTATATTTAATCTGTCATTTACAGGCCTCAATATTTTGTATATTTTTCAAAATACCAGGAAAACAGGAAAATAGTCTTTCCAAAAAGCGATAAAAAAGAAGAAACCTACAGTAGGGAATATGAATTGAAACAGTTTATTATGGTTGGACCCGATAAACTTCCTGCGGCGGCCCTGTTGAGCCATCTAAACACATCTCTCAAAGGTTTAGATGCTTTGTATGTCATTTTGGATACTAAAAACTGTCTCAAACAAACATCAAGCCATGACCTAGCATTCTGGCGAAGGTTACCGTATGGGAGTTGCGGTTTTTAAACCAATCAAATCGTGGTATTATTCGAGAATGAAAAAAATACTTTTTATAGCGGCCGAAAAATAAACTATTTTGTTTACTCTATAAAATAATGAGACCTGGTCATCTATAATGACAGATTAATTATAATACAGATTAATTAAATTAATCTTTGATTCCCAAATTTTTGAACACCCAAATTAATCTGACATTCAAAGCATATCCATTATAATCTGGTCTAAACAACCACTTTGTTATCTGTATCGCACATAAATGCAGTATACATGGTCGCTTGCTCGTGTATTACTCACTAAATGAGCTCATGTTATCTGACATTCGCTGTAGACATTGTAGACAGTGGTTTAGTAATGCCTAAAAACAACAATATGTACAGTAGTAGTGCATGCGTGGTTTTCAACTAACTGTAATGAGTGGTTACCAACACCTAAGCTCCGTGGTTGCTCACCAACAGACTACAGCAAAAAATTCTGGTTCTCCACTAATAACCGACTGTTCTCCGGTCAATAAGAGCTCTACTTTGACATACTACTATTAATTTTGAACATATGATGACAGAATAATTTTGAAGACAGATTAATTGCTGTAATGACAAAAAGTATTGAAACGTCCGATTTGGCTCAAACTACTGGAAACTTTATTTC